TCTGTCTGCTAGAAGAGGCCCTGGCCCTCCTACCCAGAATGCAGACAGATTCGAGCTTTTGTCATTTCGCAAAATATTGATTGGCGATTGGGTCTGCAGCTGAGGGAAGGAGACAGGACATTCGTTGACCAGAGCTGGAGGAATTCTTCTGAGGTATCTCCCTTCTCAGAGGAAGCGTCTCTTCTCACCGACTTTAATTAAGGACTGCCCAGCTCCTTGTGTGAAGTCTCCCCCACCCCAAGGGGGCTGAGGCTGCACTCTTTTGTGTCAGTGCAGACAGCAGAGGAGGGTGTGGCAGAAGCCACTTTGCACTTGCCTCTGGCTTCTGAGCTGCTAACTGGAGACAACCTGTGGGAGTGGGAGGGGCAGGGAGGCCTGATCTCACACAAAGGACTTCCTCGACCCACAGCAGTATTCAGAGGCCCGACCCATTGCGTCCATTGTCCCCTGATCTATGGCAAAGTGGCCAGCATCCCAGCACCTCACAGAACCATCTGAGATGGGGCCCCAGGAGTGGAAAGAGCTGGCTTTGCTCTGTCCCCTTCAAGCCCGTCCCCATCACACACACTGGCACTCCCAGTGAGAGGGCCGTCTTTTCTTCTGGCAAATGGAAACCACATGTGATGAGCCTTGTTCAGCCAAGCTGGCATTAATTAGGTCCTCCTGGGGCCTGGAGGAGGAGGGGAGTCCTGGGCAGGGGCCTCACAGCTCGTTCTGGGAGCTGAGAGCCTCAAAAGGCAGCACCCCATGTTTCAAGGGTCAAAGTGCTTTGTGGAGCAGGGCTGTAGGAAGTTAGAGTCACAAGTGAACTTGATGGGGAGGGTACCTGTCTTTCAAGGTAACCCAAGCAGCCAGCTGTAGTGGAAAAGACAAGGTACAGGGTTGATGGGAAAGCAACTTGCCTCCTAGCCCCTCTTGGGGGGCATGTGGCTTTGGGTGTCACCATGTCACCTTAGTCTTTTCCAGCCTCCCACTCAGCGCAGGCTCTGTAGTCTGCACAGCTGAGCAGTAGGTATTACACAGCCCCAACCTCCCATAGATGAGGTGGCCAGCAAGAGTGGGGGTTGGGGGCAGTTGTCACAGACTGTTTTAAGGGACTGAGAACTTGACAACAAATATCTTTCTAAGCTTAAAAGCTTGTTTCCAGATGGAACCTGCAGTACTCCCTGCGTCTAGCTAGTCTGACTGTACATTACCTAAGGATGCCAGGACACTTGCAAAGCTGTGACACTGGTAACTCAGACAGCTTGGTGGATTAGCAATTAGCTGGAGTGTATCATAACGTAGCCTCTTCTTAACAAGTAGCAGCAGGTTTGGAATCGGGCCCTAGAAGTCATTTTCTACCCTTTACCTCTTTGAGAGAGGACTACATCTGAGCCAGGACAGACAAGTGTGTATCCTTGGATCGTTTCCAAGTGCTCACAAACTCCTGGAAATGATATAGGAAAGGATGTACAACTTCCAAATGATATAAGGGAAATAATATAATTCTCAACTTGCTAGATGTGTGAAAGGCCAAGTTTGCGTTCCCCAGAATGAGTTCTAAGGAACAAAGGAGGTTAAGAGTAGGAAATATTTCTTGAGGGGAAGAGATACAGCTTCTGAGAGAGACCGGAAAAGCCCTGAGCAGGTCGCCAAGGAACCTACTTTTCAGGAGACTTTTATAGAGCACAGCCACAGCCACATGGGTACAATGTGGGTTACAGCTATGATCAGCCAGCAAGGTTAGAAGTATAGCCACTCAGGTAATACTGATCCAGCGGGGAAGCAAATCACATGCATGTGCATAGGGAAGGAACAGAGAACTTCTCAGGAAGGGATGATTCCAAGGGGCTTAGTCACCCACTGAGGTGACTTTATTAGCCTCCACTAGGCCAGGGGTTGCCTCTTATTTTAGCTCTGGTCATTCCATCTTTATCTTGAGCCCTGTCCTCCAACAGATGTGCTTCTGGCCACAGTTGTAATGAGTTTTCATCTTTGGACTGACTCTATGGGGCCCAGCCCTATGTGACCTACCATATTTCTACCTAACTTAACTGTCTATGATAGACAGCTATAGCGTGTGTGTGTCCTGCTGTGCAGGGCATCTCTCAGGACATGCTCCGTTCTATCCTGGTATCATTTCTGCACATTTCTTAGGGCTTCCTCTGAGGTTCTCCTCACGCTTCAAGTGATTGCTTTCAGCAGATAGGCACTGGGATTGCAAAACCCTCACAGCCAAGCCCCACTTGGAAGATACCCAGAAGGATTTCTGTCACATGCACTTGTAAACTGAGTTTGGTCTTATATGCCTGTAATCCCAGCATTCAGGAAGCTGAGGCAGAAGATTGCCAGGAGTTGGAGGCCAGCCAGGGCTACATACTGCATTCAAGGCCAGCCTGAACTACATAGCAAGACCCTGTCTCCAAAACACAAATCACAATACAGTACATTTGTGAGACTGCAGACCAGCAGCTCCTTCCACCTGGGAGAGCCCCATCTTGGAGCATGGGTAATGGTGGTTCTTGGAAGGAACTTGCCTGGTGGAACTGTGGTGCCACAGAAAAAGGTTCTGGATAGGCCAGATACATCCTGACAGGGTGGGACAGCCCCAAGGAGACTCTTGGGACCTGAAGTGGACAGTGGGACTTTTATTTATAAAAGTTTACTGCTTCTCCAGTCAGGAGGATGTAGGCTTTGAGTCTGTTCCTGTCCCATGGTTGTTATCATATCTCTGAATATCCCCATAGCAACAGAGCATTCACCCCAGCCACTTCCCAGGGGCTTGGGATATGCTCTGCAGGGTGCTCCAGAGCCACCCAACACCCAGAGCTGCAGTTTCCCCACCAGCCCTGCTGGTGTGAGGAAGGCAAAATAATGGCCAGGGCAGCTAGACAGTGTGGTGTGAGCCTGGCATCACAGGCCTTGCCCGCCCAGCCTGCAGAGCAGTCACAGCGTGGAATGCTGAGGTCGTGCGCCCTTCCCTTCCTCCCCCTTGGCCTGTCACCGTGGCAGGCTGCTTCTGGACTCTGTCTTGCTTGCGCCACCACCTCCTCTGACCTCGCTGGCATTTTGACAGTGAATGCCTCTCTCCGTCAGAGCCTCCCTCTGACTCTTGCTCAAGAGTCCACGTCTCCCCCTCCTTCCGGCCGATCTGATTTCCTTAGGACGAGTGCACCATCTCGCCTGCCCCATGTTGGCCCAGCTTGCTTTGAAGCCAAGCTGAGATGGACTCAGTTGAAGGCAGGGCAGCTGTTCTTTCTTCCTAGCCCTCCAGGGGATCTGTGAGGTGTGCTTGAGCCTGGGTGCTGGCTCCTGCCTTCCAGAAGCTACTTGCTGAGGGGCTGAGATGTGCTCTCTGTCTGCTCCCTCAGCAGGAGCCACTCATTCCCACCCAGCCCTGGTCCTGTCTGCAGTCGCAGGCCTACTTGAACTTGCAACCTTCTGCCCACTCCAGCCAGCCTGGTGCCTGCTTTTTGGCCATCAGAAAACTTGGGGTCTTGGGTAGCCCCGCCTGACCCCACACTGCTGCACACACATTCAGTCCTTCCCAGGTAAAGGAGGGACACCTGGCCCTTCCCACTGCCTAGCAGGCTCCACCGTGAACCCAGGAGTTCTGAGCTAAGACTAGACGTGATTTCAGCTTGGTTTTGCCATCTTTTGGGTAACCCTTCCCCTTTTTAATGATACTAAAAATTGAATCTGGCTGTCCTTGCTTTCTTCACACTAGCCACCCTGGAGTTTTATCGTGTATGGGTTTTTTTGTTAGTTTGTTTCGTTTTTTCATCTCTTTTATTCACCCCAGGCCCACTCTGCATAGCCAGTTTCTCCCTCACTCTTCATTTTTACTTTTTCAAATAAACTTGAAGGTGGGGGGGGCGACCACCCAAGGCCTTTGACTAAACTACATCCTCAACCCTTTTTTAAATTTTTATTTTGAGACGGGATCCCAGTAAACTGCCCAGGCCTACTTGAACTTGCAACCTTCCTGGCTTAGCCTCCCAAAGTGCTGGGATTAAAAGCGTATACCACCAGGCCCAAGCTACCTTCCTGCCTTAACCACACAGCCCACTTTCTGCTTCAGTGGTACAGATCAGGGAAGCATGGCGGCCGTACCCCCACCCCACCCCCGTACCACTACGCCTCTAGTGAGTGTAAATTTAAAGAGCAGGGTACACAAATCATGAGCTCACTGTGGCTCGGCTAATTTTCACTAGAATGAGTGCTCACATCTAGAAATAGAACATTCCTGGCACCCGGAGGCCCCTTCTGTCTCCTCCAGCTGTCTGCCCCTGCTCCTCTCCCAGGTATCCCTGTCCTGACTCCATGCTCCTCCTAGGTTGCTTGTGCCTGGTTCTGAACTTCACGTAAGCGCAGTCATTCAGTTCATGCTCCCTCCCAGATCTTGGCTTCTTTGGGTCCACATTGCATGTGTGAGACTCCCCTGTGCCGGATGCAGCCCTAGTTCACGTTTCCATGGAAGAATCTGCTTTATGAAGATGCTGTGATTTATTTATGCATTCAGGCATAGATGGCATGTCAGTTGTTTTCAACCTGGCTTTGTTATAAATAATGTTGCTATGAATGTTTTCTTGCGTGTCTTTTACACATATGCTCAGTTCTGTTAGGTGCATTCCTAGGAATTGCGGGACTGGAGAGTGAACATCAGCATTGCTCTGGGAGACACTGTCCAGGCTGCTTGTAGCAGCTTCCACTCCCAGCAGGAAAGCAGAGAGTGTCGCAGGTGCTCGACGCCTGCCTCAGTGCTTGATGTCATCAGTCTTCCGTTTCCGCCATTCTTGTAGGTGTGTAGTGTTAATTCACATTTTGTTGAAGACTAACCAAGTTGGACAGCTCTTCATAGCTTTTTTGCCTTTTTGGTATCTTTTGTGACAAGCATGTGTACTTTTCCATTGGATTTGCTTATTGATTTGTGAAAGTTTTATGTATATTTTGGATTCAAGTCCTGCCCAACTGCATATATTGTAACTGTTCATGGTGTCCCCTGATTTTTTTTTCCACGTCACACAGTTAAGGTGCCCACGTTGTAACATGGTCTGAGGGAGGCACAGCTCAGGCGTCGTATGGTGTGGACACGCGGTCATCATGCTTATGAGCTGAAAGATCACCATTAATTCTTAATACAGCCCAGGTGGTCACTTTTTTCTTTGCAGTTGGCTTTTTTGGCGTGCTTGTTTTAGTGCTTTTTCAGGGAATTAGGACCTCCTGGGAAGGTGGCTTGGCCCTGGAGTTACCTGTCCCTGGTTGACACTTGTTAAACATTCCCAGTAAACTGGGCACTGAGTACAATCTTTTGTAAACCCAAAATTATTTCTAAACTCTGGACAAAGTCTTAGGACCACATACAGTGGTACCTCAGTTCATGACACTTCTGTTTGCAACCAGTTCAGTTCACAAACTCTGCACTGGGTGAAAGGCACAACCACAGCCATCTTCCTACATGAGTACAAAATGCACCCATCTTCCCCAAAATCTTAAAGCAAATTAAGTTTGTAAACCAAGGTACCACTATAATCTGTCAACCTTACTGTTTTGGTCTCTTCAGAGTCCCAGAAACATGGCCATCACATCATGTGACTGTCATATCTCTGCAGGTCATGGACCAAAGGGAAGCTGTGATTGGCCCCGAGAGGTCCTGTGTCCCTGGTTGGGATGGCAGTGCTAGGGTTTGAACTGTGGCTCCTGTGTGCGGCAGCCCTGACACATGCTGCATAGCATAGGGAAAGGGGCTGCTCTTACCATCATGTGTCAGACAGTCCAGACGGGGCCTTCCTGAGCGGTTTTCTTCATTTTGTGGGAAAGGGCTCTGAGAATTGAGTTTAAGCCCTCAAGGGCGTTATATGTTTCTTTTTTTCTTTTCTTTTTCTTTTTTTTTTTTTTTTTTAACTGGGGATTGAACTCAGGCCCTTGCATTTGTCAGGGAAGTACTCTTTTTCTTTTTAAGAAAATCCAAAATAGTAAAAAAGAAAAAATAGAAATGATACATAATTTCACTAACCAAGATAATATGAATTTGACATCACTGGTCATTTGAGAAATACAAATTAAAACAATACTGAGATTCCATCTCGCCCCAGAGAGAATGGCCCCCATCAAGAAGTCAGCCAATAACAAGTGCTGGAGGGGCTGTGGGGAGAAAGGAACGCTTCTCCGCTGTTGGTGGGAGTGCAGGCTGCTACAACCACCGTGCTGCTTTTTTGACAGTGCACAGGCCTTGTACATGCCAGGCAGGTGTTTTACCACAAAGCCACACCCTCAGCCTTGAGCACAGTTTTCTTAAATGAAAACTGAAGACAAGGACCATCGCTATCTCCTCCTGCCCTTTGTGAAGAATAAACACTTGACGTTACCTGCAGAGAGGCTGGTGCACAACTCCTGTGCAGCATCAGAAGTAGTGAACTAGGGAGCTGCCTGGGCACAAGGCCCCGGAAGCTCAAGGGGGTCACAGCTGGGCCTGGCCTTCCTCGCCACCTCTGCTGGACAGCTGGAAAGCAAGTGTCCTGGATCAATTCAGTTTGGCCTGTTTTCTAGAGCAGGGTAAAAGGGGAAAAGCCTTGGAGTCTACCTCAAAGGTAGACTTGAATTGTGGTGTCCTCCTTCCTGTACATCCCCCTCCCCACCTGCTGACCCTGTGCTTGTTCAGGGTTGCCCATTCCGCACCCTAGATAGCACATGACAGAAAAACAATTCTCAACCTCACTTAAGAAAAAAAAAAAAGATAAGCGAACTATGGTAACGCACATCTGTAATCCTAGAACTTTAGAGGCTGAGGAAGGAGGATTGCCACAAATTCAGGATCAGCCTGAACTATATGGTGAGACCCTGTCTGAGATAAAAGGAAGAAAGGATGGATGAAAAGAGAGAGAGTCATTCGGTCAGTCGGTCGGCCGGGCATTCAGGGTGGACAGGGTTGCATCGTGAAACGCTAAAAGCCCACAGCTAGAGCCCTCCTCATATTGTCAGGACTTGGTCTCCCTCTCCTGCCTCCCTGGTTGGCTCCCTTTGCTCCTCTGTCAGCCCCATTCTTACACAGGCCACCTGCTACATGACACTAGGCTCTCAGCATCCCACCCTTCTCAGTTGTCCTGGGTTTGGTCAGAAAAAGCGTGAATGTCTGATGCCCAGCTGTAGGCTCAGGTGCACACCTTTGGATGCAGGAGGTGCTGAGCTCCCTTCAGCTGCAGGAGGTCCTGTGTCTACCCTTGGGCACACAGGCTCCTGTGCCTGCCTTCAGGTACAGGAAGAGAAGCCGTTACCTGCAGGACTAGAACCCGAGGCATTGAACTCCAGGAGGCAGACTACATGAGTCTGCCTGGACTCTGTCCCCCCTGTGCTCTGCCCCCGCCAGGCCACTGTGATGCTGGCAAGATTGTCTGTCCTGCATCTCCCAGCAGCTATGTCCTCCATCCCTCCAGTAGGGCAGGGGAGGGTGAAGGGGTGTTTGTGACCCAGCAAACTTCTCAGAGACTGCCTGGGAGCAGGCAGTGAGGACATGGCCATTGGAGTGGGGTGGCACAGGAGGAATCTCACGGCCTCCCAGCTAATCGTTCTTTTGTGGCTTCCTTCCATCAGCAGCACTGTGCTTGCCAGACTAGAGGTGTCAGTGTCAGCAGAATGGGTCTCTTCCCTTGTGTGTGGTACTGGGGGTGCACACAGCCCAGCACCTCCCAGCAGGGCCCTCTCAGTCCCATCACCACACATGGGTCCCCACGTGGTCACCTCAGGACCTTGACTAAAGAGAGACCAGGACAATTTCAGACAGACTGCAGCCTCTTGCGGGCTTAAGGATCACCTTAGTTCTCAAACACAGGAGGAAACTGAGGCAGTTCCATGAACTGCTCACTATGCACCAAGCCTGGGCTGGGCCAACACAGGCCAGTCTCCGTCATCCAAGGGGAGGCATTTCCCATGTGGTAGGAGCACTTTCGGGGGGAAATGCTGGGGAGTTTATAAAAGAGAGATCACCTCGCTGGGATGGAGGTCCAGGGTTCCCCCCCTCCATTCTGTAAATGCTCCTGGAGCACCTGGAGTGTGCCAGGAACCATGCCAACCCTGGGCACATGCGTACTGATTGCTATAGTTGCTGCCTACACCAGGATTGCCATCTAGAGAGATGACAGGCAGACAGGTGACAAGAAAGCGTGTGGCCCCCAGCATCATGATTCCTCCTCTGAAGGGTGCTCCAATTCAGGCCTGTGGGAAGGGTGCTCACCACTCGTGCTCAGCCAGGAAGCTGTGACCTGGATCCGATGTTTTCTCAGAGCATAAAAGTGCCCTAGTTTTCCCTTTCCTCGGGCTCTGCTGAAGCTGTGCCAAGAATTGGCTTTTAAAGGCTGCTTGAAATGTGGTCTGGAGCCAAAAATCTATAGAGCCAGTGCATTTGTGACCTTGTCAAAAATGCTTACTGAGGAAAATCAAGAGGTGGGATTTGGGGGGTTTTTTTGCCCTCTCAGAGATTTTTTTTTAGTCCCTCTCTGTTCCCATCCCTACCCCCATCCTTTTCCAGCCTGGCTTGTCCCTCACCCGGCCTGACTGCAACCCCATGGCATTTGTGTCTTGCATTTGTCCACTCCCTCCCCCACCTCCAATCCCTTAGCACCCCCCAGCCCCCGCATCAGTAATGAAAAATACCAAGTGGGTAAAAATAAGGAGCCCGGTGATAGCCCTGGAAATTAGGCCACAGCTGTCAGGCCAGGCAAGAGCCTTGCGTCTGAGAATGGAACTGCTGGGGGCAAGACCCACCCCCTCCCTGCCAGCACAGAAAAAAGCCTCTGCCTGGCACCCAGGAGGGCACTGCTGCAGTGCTGGCTTGGGGCGCGCCATTTGTCTCTAAGCAGACCACTCGTGTATGTCTGCCAGTGTCAGACCCAGTGCCCACCAGGAGGATGCCACTGTGGGCAGAGCTCGGGTCAGTCATGATCACAAGTGGCAGCATCGTGACATGGTGATGCTCTGTGGGAGCAGATGGGATGGGGGCAGGGTGCCCAGCCCAGTGGAGGGGTCCAGGGAAGCTCCAGGAAAAAAATGATGTCTGAGCTAAGCCATGAAAGATCCGTGGGAACAGTGGGGGCAGGGAAGGGATGGTGTTTCTAGTACTGCCAGCCAGATCTGCCCGGGAGTCCAGAAGTGGATCGCAAGCCCTCTGGGAGACTTGCTGTGTGGCTGAAAGGTGGCAGGGAAAGCTGGCCCTGCAGTGAACCATTGAAGGCCCTGGGCAGGTTCAGCAAATGCTGTCCACCTGGGTAGGCTGTGCAGGTCCCTGAGGGGTACAGCCTCTGATGGGTGGCCACCCTCGAGCCTTTGCACAGGCTGCAGGTGTGCAGGAGCCCGTGCCTGGAGGGACTATCTTCTCAGTGGCCCCCAGATCTTCCAGTGAGCTACAAAGGAAGTGGGGTCCAGGGCCAAGGGGGGGGGGATTAAAGTAAATTGGGTGAGACCCTCACTCAATCACTGGGACAGCTGTGGCCTTTAACCCTGTCCCCTCCCGCTAGCTTCATAAGACCCCAAAGGGTACTTGAGTAGCTGCCTCAGGCAGCTTGCTTGCAAGGGAGCTTGGTGCTACGTCATTCTGCAAGATTCTCTGCTGCTGGGACCAGTGGTTTAAACAAAGCCTCTGAACTGAGTTTAAATCTACTCCACTTATTGCTGCCCTGAGCTTGTTTGGCTCATCAGAGGACACTGGCTTCCGCAGTTCATTCCAAGGGCCTGAGCACTCAGCTGACTTAGAATTTGCTGTGTGTACTGTATAGAGCAACGCCAGCTTTTCCTTCTTCCTACTTGGCCTGAGCCTCTCCCTCCATGATGGACAAAGCCTGCCTCCCCTTTCCTGAAAGAGACCCTGCCACCTCTTTTGGGAGCCCCAGCCCTAACAGTTGGCAGAGTCCTGAGTTCCTTCCTGCCTGCCTGCCCTTGAAGCCTGAGTGGCTGCCCAGTCCAGCTCCTTCTGCTTCTCCCAGCCCCCCAGCAGCGTGGTAATTGCTTTCTCAGGTCTTCAGCTGTGCAGCCCATCTGCAAGCATTTCCTGTCCCCAGACCCTCTGCAGGAAAAGCTATCTGTGTTCTTTCTCAGGGGGTGGGGGCGGAGGACCCCTGGGTGAGAGGTGATG